ACTAAATGCTCAAGTGAGTATCTTGTGCCTTGCACCATGTTGTTATACTACCAAAGACATCCTAAGGATGACGTCAAGTCTTGGTAGGTATACGCCTCTTCCTAATGGGAAGTGACTGCTGCACTGTCTGCTGCACTGTTACATGTATAGTTGCAGGCAGTTGCTTTTTTTGCAGTTGCTTTCTAGCTGTATAGTTGACTTGTACTTCTGTCAGAGAACACCAAGGGATCAGGTCCCTGTCTTGTTCCTCTATTTTCTTTACTTGCAGTAGTTCGCATTAGCTTGAGTTCAGGCTGGAATTCGTTCATTTGCAATGTGTACCAAGTGTCAGGTTCCCTATCTGGTTCTTGACAGTAAGTTTGTTAGATCATCAAAACATAAGGCAAAGACATTGAAAACCCATCAATATGTATTCAGCATATTGTATATATGTAATCAGATATATCTGCAGTATGTATTCATATATATTCCACTGTATATTAAGCATTATGTATTCATATATATTCAGGAGATTGTACTGTATGTGCTCTGCATTTTGTATTCACATGTATTCAAATATATTCAGATTGTACTACATGTGTACAGCATTTTATATTCATATGTATTCAAATATATTCAGATTGTATTGTATGTGTAATGCATTTTGTATTCATATGTATTCAACAGATTGTAATTATTATTCAGATATAAGTGCACCTGTGTGTATTCATATTTATTCAAAATATAAATGCAGCTTGTATTCAGCAGTTTACTAAATTATATCTTTACTAACTGTTCTATAAAGAAATCATCACGCACCAACAGAACTTCCACGAACGATAGCAACAAAAAAAGGAGGGATTGAAACTCTAGAGATTGCTCTGTTTTGTGGTAATTTTCGGCTGGGAAATCTTTTCTATAACGGAAAATACAGATTCTGCGTGTTATAAGTGAGTTAGTTGAGTTATATTAGGAGTCTATCGTGTTAATTGATTCACTTACCATTTTTAAACAGCTGAAAAGACCATTTCTTACGCAGTTTACATTACTGTATTCACGAATACAGCTCGTGAATACAGTCGAATACAATCGTTGCTTAGCTGGACTCTCCTGTTTCACGCCGAGTTCTGCTACTCTATTCATGAATACAGTAGCTTAAATACATCAAATACACTCTATAACAACTGAAAACATAGCTATAGGAAGTAATTTAGTAAATGCTAGCTATAGCTAGCTTATAACCACTAAAAATAGTGGTTTGTGAAAATTTCTCTATTATATACTGTAACGGTATATTGTAATAATGTGCAATATACTGCAACAGTATGTTGTAATAGTATACGATATATAATTCAATAGTATATAGTTTACTACAATAATATATTATTATTATAATATACAATATGATGTTATAATTGGGTTATTTTTTAAAATTTTTTAACTGGATCCTTTTTAAATATAATAATAAAGTTCTCATGTTTTTTATAATTTTTTTTAAAAGAGGTGTTAGATGGAATTCCATGGATATATTATTTATTGTATTAAAAGTAGTTGATAGAAATAATAATTATTTCTCTCTTCTTGATACTTAACTTCTATGGGCAGCCTACGATTTCACCTCTTGTTGGGTTTCTCAGGTTCTCGTTTCCCTCCTCCTTATGTAATATGTCAAGAATAAATTATGGGTACAATTTAATCTCACGGTTTAACAATAGCCTCTTATGACTTTCCATTTAACTTTTTGAAAGCATAGCCACAATCACGATTCCCCTTTCTCCTTTCACTAATAATATTACTCACAAAAGCTGCAATGGGTAGGAATGATAATCAGTTTGGTGGGTAGAAAAACTAATGGGTAGGTAAGGGTAATTAATTTAATTTTTGTGGGTAAATCTATAAAACTCCCTAAAATTAATAAAGTAAATAGGAATCCTTTTGCTTGGGTTGCGGGAGAAAATAGGAGTGGACATAGTTTGGGCAAACCCGATTTCCAAATCGAAATACAATTTTTTTGGATTTTTGGTTTGGATTTTCGGATTATAGATTGGATTTCGGATTTAGTTTTTGAACTTTTTGGATTTCGGATTGGATACAGGATTTGGTACTTCAGATTTATGGATATTCGAAAATTCAAAATTTTTATACTTTATATTTAGTCCATTATTCATGTGCCAATAGTAAGAAATTTAATCCCTACCCATTAGACATTATCTCATATATTCAATACTAATTACTAAGTACTAAGTTACCGCTAGAATACTTTCTTTTTTGGGGACACAGTTTTACTTCCTATCGACCTTATTAATGTCTTTATTGTATTTTCTTGATAATGATTTCATTACTTGAATATTTCATTTTGATGATTGCAGTGAGAAAGGAAAACTTTTTAAGTAATTTAGCATGAAAACATTTATTTAGGTGTTTATTTTTGGAAGAAGAAGAAGAAACATCCAAATTTATAGACTCAAAATCGAAAATCCAAAATATTCAAACCGATTAATCAAAAATCGAACTTAAAAAAATCCGCTCCAATCCGAGCTTATTTGGCTTGAATTTGAATTGTCATTTATTTAGTCCGAAAATCGAATTTCCAAACCAAAATTTTCATATTTAATCCAAACTCCTGAACGCCCACCCCTAGGAGAAAGTAGAGTTCAAATGATGAACCGATTGATGCGTTAGAAAAGATTTCACGAACTACAATTTTGCCAAGACATTTATACTCTGAGGTAAACCCAGAATTTGAAAGTGGCGGGGCTACCATTATCGAATAAAATTTTGAGTAAATGCTGGAGCGGGAATCGAACCCAGACAACATACTAAAAATTAAGTTGTATCCCTCTCCCCTATCCCTCCCCGGTCCCCTAAAAATTGACCAATACAACTGCCTAAGATTTGAGTCTTAAGGTGCCATATACATATTATTTAAAATATATACACATATCTACATACAGTATTTCTGAATTTTTCGGGGGCCAATGACCCTCTCTACCCTTAAGGGTAGTCCGGTCCATTTTAGAACTTGAGACATATTTCACTTATTAGAAAAAGTCGTCCTTGCCTCTAATTTCCGACTGCTCTTGACTTTCCAGATTATCCATCATAGTTTGAGTTCAAAGGAATCTTATGATTATTCACTCTCCACTCATATTCTTCGATGCTCCACAAGTTGACCCTCCCGAGCTTATATAGCCTTGGCCTTTAACCTGTATGGCGGTATACAATGCTTTAATTTAGATTTCCTAGTTCCTCTTTTTTTTTTTTGTGTCTTCGGCTATATTTGTGGTTTAATTATTTAGTGCATGGATTGTTATAGGGGTGGCAATTCGATCCCAAATCTATTTGACCCATCCAGCTTATCCAAGATTAGACTGATCATCGAACCTCCCATTTGTTGAACTCAATCTATCTTGACTCAACCCATTTAAGCCTTCTAAAGTTCGGTTGGTCATTTGTCCAAATTGAATAAGAAGAATTAATCCAAATAGCCGCCCACCCAACCGCATAAACTAAAAATAGCCGGTGGAGGTATAATATATGCATAATTTATGTATTGTATGTGCATAATTATGTATTATCAATATAAAAGTTATATATACAGCTAGCAAAAGTAAACAATGAATATGGTCGGCTATTTGTATAAAAATCCCATTGAATAATGAGTAACTTTGCTAAAATATCTTTAAAATATTTGATATGTTATATATGACCATAACAAAAGAAAAAAGTCTTTTGATAATTAACCAATTCATAAGAAAATAATACATATTATTAAAGCTTGCTAAAAGTTGGACGAGTTAGGCTGATCGGGTCGTCACACCTCTTCCTAGGAAACCTGCCAATTCTGGACCAGCTTCAACAAATCCCTCCGCTTTGGCGCTATAGGTTTGTGTAGTTTAACCTTTTTAAGATGAGAAAACTACCCTCTATAGCCCTTCAAAATTTTATTAGCCCATGTTTTCTCACATGGACCCAAAATAGCCCTTAGTCCCGTATTGACAAGTTATAGCCACTATTTCCAATACGCTTTCACTCTCTTTCAACCGCCTGCTTCTCCTCTCTCTCTCTCTCTCTTCTCATCTTCTCCGATCTTCAATCTTCCATCTTTCCCTTTCTTCTTATCTTTCCCTTCTTCACTCCCTCCTTTTTTTCTTTTTTCTTTTCTTCTCTTACAGCGACACCAACACACGTTTTTTTTTTTAATTTTCTTTTTTTTTCTTTGAGCTCTCCTCCTCTTTTACTTAGATACAGAAATATCTATCTTCTTTGAGTAATTTCTGGCAAAAGTCTGGCGGAGGTTGTCGCTTTCTTCGCTTTCTGTCCACTTTCAAATATAGTATTGTATGATATTTTTTCGGATGACTTTTGCAAGAAGATGAGAAATGGAGAAAATAAAGTAGACGCTGCCAGAGAAAAGCTTTTTCTGGCCAAGTTTGGTGTCCTCCATTATCGTTAATGCTCCTTTATTTATACACTGTGTAATCAGTATATAATAATTGTATAATATAGTGTATAATCATTGTGTATACATTATACACTAATGATACACTTATTATACATTTATTATACACGTATTATACAAAACTAGACGTGAAAGATTACGGTGATTATGGTGAGTGTTGAAAATATTGTATATAATATGTATATAAAATGTATGCACATGTATATGGAAGGTGTATCTACACTGATATTATGCATATACACTTTTTATACAAATTCAATGTTAATATAATTTTGTATATATTTGGAATATAAAGTGTATAATAGTGTATATATATTGTTCGACGATGTATAAAAAGTGTATATACACTTTATACTAGTGTATAATGTGTATAGTACGTTTTTTACTATTTTATTTCATAAGTACGACATTACTTCCCTTGCAAGAATTTGGATGTCAAATAAAATCCTAAAAGAAGCTTCTGCGGAATTGTTTATGAATTGACTATTCTCGTTTGGATCAAATATTCAAAATTGACTATGTACTTAAATAAGCTATAATTCTTCCTTTTTTTACTTTGAACTAAAAGTCGACCAAAACAACATTGATCCCCTGTCCAAACAATCCTGAATATCCCAATTTTCTTTCAACATGTTCAAACGGTTAATATGTGGAAATTTCCATCATCACCTCAAAGACAATGATATTGATGAAACTAATTTGTTGAGTCCATGCTCAACTACCAAAAAAACCAAGAGGAAGTTCTTGTCAAGAACCAAAAAAAAGATAAACCCATATGCTAACAGGGGCCTTGATAAGTTTTCTGCACTTTTGGCTGATCTGGAGGAAAAGAAACAAAATATTTACACCCAAATGGGCCTGGACGATGATCTCCCCTTGGTTCGTTTTGTTTTTTCTAATTCCAATGAATGCAAGACCATTGTAATTGTCAAGAAAAAACAAACCACAAGTGATGCTCAAAATACACACAACAATTCAAAGGAAATAGCAAATGAAGATCAAGAACCTATCGCAGAATCCAAGAGAACGTTAAAGAAGAATTATTCTTTGAGGAAGCCTCAACATAAGAACTTGCTAATGACAATGATATTGATATTGATTTTGTTAGCTATTTATGGAAGGTCTTTTGCAATATTGTGTACTTCAATTGGGTGGTACTTAGTTCCCTCCTTTAGACGGATCTCAAGCTCAAAGCACAATTTTAAGACCAAAAAGGAAGGAGGAATATGAACGCCAAAACTTTTACATCAATTTTTATCACCAGTGGATAAGTTAAGATCATTGTAAGTTAATTTTCTTGTACATTCTTTTGTCCCTCTTCTGAATTTTCACTTTTTTTTCTAAACTAAAGATTGTAATTCTTTTATTAATATGTACATGTTGTTGTTACTCTTTGACTTGTTCTTTTCTTCTATGTAAATCTTGACTAAGTTATGCTGCTTGTATAATATATTGTAGTAAGACTACTTGTGTTCGACAGACTTGAGATGTACTACTATTGTTTTTTGATTATACGCATTAAAAATAATCCAAATTTAGGATTCCTGTCCATAGGTAAAATTCACTAATGATCATATAACTATAACTTTTATTTTACCAAAATCATATACTTATGTTTTGTAACAGAAAAATGAAAAAAGTCACAATTTCTGAAACATTCAACTTTCCTATGCAATATTTTTTTACTCTATATTTTTTATGTTTTATTTTTAATCTAATAATATTAACCCAATTTAAAGAGGAGCGGTCGCCCCTGCCCCGAATCAAAATCCATATGCATAAAGTAAAATATGTTAAAGAAACGTAAGTGAACCCTTCCCCGCCCACCCCAACAAAAATAAGCTATTTATACTCTTATATATACCTTTTGTTTTTATTTTCTAGATTTTCATCAAAATTAATAGTGATTATTGTTTCCGGAGTTATATAATTTCGATTTTGTATCTCCTTATTTGTACCTGTTATCTCTTTTCCCCTCGTAATCTCATGCAAAGTATTGGAGAAAGAAAGAATATTACTTTGAAAAACCATACAATTATATATATATAAACCACTTGTCACCTCACATAATTTTATAAAAAATTTTCTTGTAAAACTTCTATAGAATAAAATTTTCTTCCATTAAAATTTACAAATTCCTTGATTCGGCTGGGGTCCTCTTTTAATTTGGTCAATATTTATGAAATTAAGAATAAATATGGAGTAAAAAGTATGGAAATATTTACCTTGTTATACTATTGTCACGACCCAAACCGAAGGGCCGCGACGGGCACCCGATGCCTAACTCAACCGAGTACCAACGTAACGTATTCTTCTTATCATACTATCATGGGTAAATGAGCTTGAAATGCCGGCATGAGCGAACCAAAACTAAACATAAGGGAATACTCGACATAGGACGACCCAACATGGTATACAAACTTATACATGTGACATAAAGACCTATAAGTCCGAAATGATCATTTGTACACTCAAAATATAGGCCGACAAGGCCATACAATCATCCATATACATGACATATGTCTACAAGCCTCTAAGAGTACATAAACATCATAAAGGCCGGGACAGGGCCTCGCCATACCAATCTATACATGTCCAAAGCATACTGACCAAATAGGCAACTTCGGAGCAAGTGGAGTGCGCCAACACCTTCCGCCAAGCTGATAGCCTACTAGAAGGACAGTCAACCTGTCTATCGGGACCTGCTGGCATGAAACGCAGCATCCCCAGGCAAAAGGGACATCAGTACAAATAAAGTACCGAGTATGTAAGGTAGGAAAGCATAAGTAAGAACAGTAATGTAAAGAGATAGAGAAGATACAACATGTAACATCTGAGTGCCTCTGAGGGCGATTGACATGAAATGCATGATACATAAACTTTTAAAACATACGCCTTTGTGGGCATCGTCATCATCATATCGTACCCGGCCTTGAATAGGACTCGGTAAAAACGTACTCGGCCATCATATGGCTCGGTAGAATCGTACCCTGCCACGTGGAGCTCGATAAAACCGAACTGAACTGTGGTTGCACAATAGGTGTCGTACCCGATGTCGCGCCCCCCTTTTTCCCTTTTTGACGGGGAAGTTCGGGTTTCGACATTCATGAGGGTAATAACTTGTTTCCTTTTGGGAATTGGGTATATGAAGAGTCGCCACCTAACGGATTATGGTGCGTTAGGGCACCTAAAGTGATTAAATCTTAGATTGGTTTGCATTACAAGAGATTTAGAGTAAGGGCTCAAAATAACCTCGAGGGGAAGGTGTTAGGCACCCCTCTTGGTCCACAACTGTGGGTCCCGGCCGAACTTATACTTACAAATTAGTCCATTAACAAATAAATAGTTGAATCAAATAGTTGGCGAGTAAAGCACGTTAGACATTGTATAACTCAAATAATAAGGCAAAGATTTTGAACAAGTTGTGCGTAAAGGAAAGTAAAGTTTTCAAGCAAAAAGGGATTTGAGGAAAAAGGGGCCCTAGGTTGATTAGCCTATAGGATTAGATCAGTACGATGCCTGGTAATCACTCCTCGAAAAGGGGCTACACGTGGCATTAGCGCACCGGTCATCATATCCATATCTACCCTTCCCACCCTCTTAGTGGTTATTAATGCGAGTGTTGGTTAGCGATCTCTATTGCGTGTTGTTACCCGTCCCTTCTTAATAGTCCTGGAGGAAGTTTAGGACCTCTACCAATAGGTAGTTCTAGACAGATCCCTAAGGTTTTAAAGGAGTAAATACTAAGGCGACAAGCAAGAACACATAGGGCTTCAGCAAATAAAAGCAGGAAAGAGAAAATAAGAGGCTCAGTTTTACCTCCGCAGATAAGGCATGTAAACAGCATGACTCAAACACAAATAAGGGCAGTATTGTTAAACAGGATCCTAAGACATGATGTCTTGGTGAGTATCAGAACACATGAGATATGCAGTTTTATTTTATAACTCAGAAGCAGGGGCCCTGATCAGTTTGCCTACTGATTTTAAGCCGGTTAACCATTAAGGAGTAAACACAAAGAACAGTCTCCAGTTTTATAGAGGTTGATTACCTAAGGCTTGCCTAGGCGTAGGATAATGCGCAACAGTTACTAGAATTATTAAAACAGTTTAGAAGTTATTTTATCTAAAGCATGTTGTTCTAAGTGTTGCAAAGATACAGGGATTATGACCAGTTTTACTTAAACAGGATAAATGTGACATTGTTTTTACATATTTCATAACGAGTAGTTTAAACTAGGCGTGACTGAGCGAGTGTGAACGAGATCCTAAAACAGGGTATCTAACATGCACATATAAAATGCAGAATGATTTATATGCAAAATTCCTGAAGCATGATTTCTAAATGCATAGCATGATTTCCAGATGCGTAGGAGTAACTGTTTTGTGTTAATGCTGTTATTTAGCCTAGAAGCAGGATTACGATAAATAAGGTCAAACGAGATGCTGAAGCAGTAAACCTAAAACATGATATCTAATGCATGACATGCTTTGAATGTGTTGGTCCTAGACATGGATTCTAATGCGCATATAGGAAATGTAAACCTAAGGCATGGCTTCTACCCATTGATATTGATAACATATATAACTACCCTTCCCTTTCCACTAGCCAACCCTAATATTCGTTTACAATAATTATTACAAACCAATATTGAAATGAATTACATAGATAAAGAAAAATAAGAAGTTACAATATAGGGAGCCTAAAAACAGGCCCAGATTTCCAGAACCTTAAATGCCCATATTGTTTCAGAGCCTTTCTCATATCCGGGTGTGTCAGAGTTCCCTAAGGACCTGAAAGGATCTCGGGCAGTGCTCACACCCAGATTTCACAACCATATTTGAGTAAGTGCAGTGTGGAAGGGCCAGCTCTAAGAGGGATCTCATAGGGATCCCTAAGCGGTCACACATTAGAGGGGTAGAACTTAGGGATCTAAAAATAGAGTGAGAATGCTTGACATAGTTTTGAAAAAAAATTAAGTAGAAAAACAATTTGAAAAGAGACTTGAAAATAGTTTTGTAAAACAACAGAGGAGTTATTCAATAAGACAGTTTTGAAAAGAGTAGGGCAATCAAAAAACAACAGACCAACCTCAGAACCAAAACAGGTTCAGGATCACACAAAGAACCAAGGCACGTTTAGCACCACAAGCCTTCACACAGGGGTAGATGGGAATTGGGGACAGGTAAAACACATAATGGTAATCACATAGCAGGCAGAAGTCCTTGGAATTGGTACAGATATGCCCAGAAACACTGAATAGGCATAGTCACAGAATCAGCAGTGCTTAAGGGGTTCAGTATAGGATCAACATAATTCAAAACCAATCGCAGAATCATACAAGTTTAGGAGTGCAGACTACTTTACAAGGAGATTCATACTAGAAACTAGATAGAGCAAGATTACATGGAGACAGACTACATAGAGGAGGGTAACATGTTCATACTGATCTTAAGGAAGGAGAGTACATAACATGCTAATAATGTAAACATATCAACTACAGGTTTCATAGCAAAACCATAAGTAAAAGCAGACAAGAAACAGGATGAATTGAAGTAATAAAAGGATCATTTTGTTTTTGGAACTTGAATTGAAACCAGAAACATACTAGTAAAGAAGGTAGTAAACACAAAGTGAGAAGCAAGAGAGTAGAGTAATCAGCCTTGGCTTGCAGACGGCTGACTTAGAACAATAGCAAGTAACCAGAGAAAAGAGAGCATAAGAGTGTTTTGTGTGAGAGAGAGTTTTGAACCAATGTGTTCGTGTGTTGTGTTAATGAAAGAGCAGGGTACTTATAGTTTTAAAAACGGGCAGCAAATCAGGCAGGAAACATAGTTCAGCAGTAATTATAGCAATATGTACCAATTAGAACCAAATCAGCATAGGTACTTCCCTTAATTAAGGAGTTAAAAATTCAAACGGTAATAAGTAGTGACAAATAAGGAATGAAATCATGTAAGATTGAACATGACACATAAGGAAATAAGCATAGTATAGAGCATGTAACAGAGGCTAGGTTCGACAAATTCTAATTAAAGAAAATATCTAAGAATTAATTTGATAGCATAATCAACCACAAAATAAGGCAACAAAATATTTAGAGGTTGAAATCAGTAGGGAACAGAGTATACCAATCACAGGGAACAAGGGATTCCATTAGAAGGTAACACTGACCAAAGGAAAGTATCATAACCGAATGAAGCAACACAACACAAACAAGAATAAGGTGAAAGAATCACATAAATCCGGGATTCAAAGTAAGTGATGATATTGATGAGAGGAAATAACCATAAATTTTCAGGGAATAAACACATAATAGGCAGGAATAGTCGAAGTCAAAAAAACACCTAACAAGCAAACATAGGGTAAAGATCACAGAATCATAGAGTGTTCATGAGAAACATACAGATTAGTTGAACATATTATCAAAAACAAACTCAGAAACCCGGGATTAGAACTAGGAAATTTAGGGT